CACACAGCCTCTTCCCAATATGCGTTTTTGCAATTTACATATATGCAAAAACGCATAAAAACCAGCTGCTCATGTCAGCAAGTTTAATATTTAAGAGTAAGATTAAAGGTGATTTTAAAAGAAACGTACTTTGTAGTATAAGTGCAATGAAAAATGTACATTCGGATCTAAAAATGAAGCTCAGTAGAGGAAATAGATAGTGCAGTGGAGACGCAGAATGAAACATTTATGTGTTTTTGCGAATAGACTAGACAGCAGCTTAGCCAGGCGCATTTCTCGGAGAACTAAGAAAAATGCCAACCCTCTGCATGATACTGATGAATTTCGCATGAAGTGCTGGGCTGAGAACTGCAGTGCGTGGAGCAAACTCACTGAGAAGAAAAACATGTAAATGAAGCAAAGACGAAAGAAAGATGCAGTGGTCTAAAGGCTGATTTTCATAGTTTTTGAGGAGACAAGCCTGAGACTTTGATAGCAGTAAGAACACTGGACAATGTCTAAAAAGCTTCGCGAAGTATCACGAAATGCAGAAATAGGTCGTTTAAAAGCAGAACATCTGTAGCGAGTAGTGCTGAACATGAATTTTTACGGAACTTTCTCAGCAACTCAAAGATTTTAGGCCAGGGCTCGAACCGTCCCTAACGATTCCCATCTTGATGTTGTCATTAATTACCAAAACCAATTGAAAATAACATGCAGACCAGCTGCATCGGAAACAAAATTTACCTGGATGAGCATCGGCGTCACCGAATCTGTGTTGCCAACCTGAAAAGGCAGTTGCAGTTAGATAAAAGAATCAATAATATTTCAAAATGAGCAATTTACTGGCAACAAGCTACATGTTATTCCGATCACACGGATCAGCGCGGTTTGACCAATGCGCAAAAAATGAATAATCAACGGCACGCGCCAGTGCTGCCGGTACGATTGTTGCTCTACAGTCAGATGTGCGCACTCACACTAGAAACTTTTTGTTAGCCTTTTCTTGCACATGGAAGAGAGTGAGTCACCAGAAACAATGGTGCTGTACAACGGGTGTTCGCGGAATTTCAGCCCGTGATAACCGCGAGAGAATGGTGCTGATAATTTTGCAAAAAGAACTTTGAGTTCGCGCATGAGGCTCGAGTGTTCTTGATACCCCAGTTTGTGCTAAAATAGGCAGCAGACGTTCACGTAAATATATAGCTTTTCAGCTAAAATCACGGGCTGAAATTTCGCGAACACCCGTTGTACAACACCATTGTTTCAACTGGTGGCTCTCTCTTTTCCATATGCAAGCTCGGTTTTCGAGCTAAAAGAATGCCGAAAGTTATGCAAATCGTACGTTTAACGTAACCGAATAAAAAGCAAAAAGTTCGTGTAAGTTCACATTATGCTTGCGGACACGTGAATGTCTGCGGCCACGAAAAAACCTTATGCAAATATAAATTTCTAATCAGTCTGCCGTATGAATTTAAAAAAAAAAAATGCTAATATTGTCTCAGCTTAAAGTTTCAATTGCTGGTGTGCGAGATTTAGGCGTGCCACAAAGATGAATATGAAAGAGTCACGCGTGAGATGTTCTTTTCAACAAACTGCAACTCCCTATCCTGTCTGATTCACAAAATCGTTTTCCTCTAAAAGTTGTTCAGATTTTTCTTCGAACATCCGCTTGTGACAAGTATGTGGATAAATTATAAGTTGTTTAATAAAATGCGGCACACAACAGTAAAGAAAAAACTTCTGTATTTGTCAAAATTCAAAATTATAATTTATTACCTGTATTCTGCTAAGAGTAGACGAATAACCACGTTCACCCTTAGGGCCTGGATAACCGGGCGGTCCCACTGGACCACGCTCCCCTCGCTCACCTTTTGGCCCTGGCATGCCCTAAATATTTTCAGAATTATAAAGAATATAGATTTTTGCGTACAAATTATGGTTACTGTTATCCACAAAGTTGTTGCTTGGATAGTAACTGCATGCGCAGATAACGATAAGTTAGTTTGCGCACTACTTTGTGGGTAGCAGGGAAATAATCGGTTGAGTTAAGCGTTAAACTGAAGGAAATCACTAAACCCGATGATGAGTCAAATGGCGAAAATTACCAGCAGGTAAAAGATAATTTTTTTATGAATATCAATAAATTAAAAAATTTATAGAACGACACTGAGCAAAATGGCCCTGTTTGATTATTTAAGCATTAACTCAGAAGAGATGGGACGATTTTGAGGAGAAGGTAGAGGAGGGGAAAGAAGAAAATGACTTTTTTCTTCAATAATGCACCATTAATGCAGCATATTTACTACTCACCGCGACGCCTTTCGGCCCATCCAGTCCAATTGGTCCCTGAAAATGATTTAATGTTTCCTCGGTAAACAACTGGCAATTAAAGACCAAATATTGAAAACCCCAAATTTTTCTCTACTGTAAGTTTTTCATGCTTTTTTGCATATTTATGGAAATAAAAAAAGCATATTGGCAAGGGACTGTCTGTGTGTAAGTGTATGCATGTACGCGTGTATGTAGACTTAGTCACCAACTTTCAGCTGGAAAGCAGTAAAGTTAGGAGACTGAAACTTTTAGAGTATATTTCCATCCCATACCCGACTCCTCCGTTTTGAAATTATCACTCGTGTATGGGCGCTGAAAATATGAAAATTCTTTTGTGTGAAAATTGTTTCAGAAATCAGACAAGATAGGAAGCTGAAACTTCACAAGGATATTCTATGCCAGTTGTGACCTAAATTTTTTTAATTTAGCTTTAATGAAGTTTGTATAAAATGTCAAAATTAATCAACTTAACAGGTGTCTCGCGTACGCGCGAGTGAGTGTTTTGTTTGGAACAGTGCTGGCACCCGATTAACTCGGTAGTCAGACTGAGCAGGGAGCAGTATTTTTCTGAAGATGCTTGTTTTTATGTGGGAGCTAAAAAGCGCAAAATGAGCTTCTACTTACGCATGTGTCACGCGTACAGACACATCAAATGTTAAAACTTGCGATTTTGCGACAGCACGAAAAATGCAAAAACGCATGATCACACTGGCCCGACTGGTGCGCTCCAGTCTGGGTTGCATTTGCATAGTTTTGATAAAACGCATAAAAAGAAATTTGCTTGCCGGAAAGCCAGGATATCCGCGCGTACCCTTTGATCCCTGAAATGTGATTTATATTAGAATATTAGTGCTAGAAGTTTATTTGGTCTTAAATAAATAACCTACAAAGCACTGAACGAAGACTCAATTCTCTTGCAAGCGCAAGAATTTTGCAGTGCACATTTTAGAAGTCAAAATCAAAATTTTTTTTTAGCTAAGTTCCTAACTAGTTAACAGCTTCATCACGAAAACGTACACAAGATCGGCACCATAATAAATATAAAATGAATGACAGATGAGGAAGTGTGAGAATAAAACAAAGGGCAATATCACAACATACAGGTGGTCCAGGTGGCCCCGGGATTCCTCGAAGCTGAATTGCTTGTCCACTTGGTGTGTACAAAAAACCGAACGATCGTAGCTGGCGGCGCAATGAGTGTTTCGAATACTGTAATTTACTATGAATATCAACTACTGATCCTACGACAGTGAGGTACCAGCGCTTAAAAAATCCTGGCACCAAATGTTGGCTTCTCTGAGCCAGAAAGCTTATTCTGTTGTTTAACATTTTTGCCCCAGCCAAGGTGCCATACAAATAATTCATTCCTAAACCTAAAAATTCACCGTATGGCTCAGGTTATGCTTTTCAGTTGATTTTGGCAGTCCTTTTGCACTAAAAATTTGGCCCATTTCTATTCCGAGTTTTGGTGCAGTTGGATTCAGCATCGCGACTGTAAACGAATTCGGAAAATCCGTTCCTCCTTCGGCATGCTTCACCGCTGCACCGTATTCCGGCCCGCACTTGTAACATCCAACAAATAGTGGATACGTGACGGCACAAGCTCCACCAGCCTCGACGGCATAGTGAACGACAAACAAATGAAAGAGTACGAAAGTCGAAAAGTCCCACAAACGCATTTAGTGGTTTCGTAAACCGCACAGACATACCATAAGGTAACTGACACGCACTCGAATCAGTTTATAGTAAGTGGCTAGCATGCTTCACTACAGCAAAACAAAACACGCCACAGACACGTTACAAAACTTTGAAAAGAGCGAGGAGCGAGTGTATCTCCATTAAACTAGTGCTTCTTGACAAAACCGCATTATGCGCTAGCTCAGTGAAGCAGCACCTCCAATTCAAAATATTATTAACGCTGCTCAGCTGACTTTGGCGCTTTGTTGGCCAATTTTGGTTTCCTTTTTAAACCGAGATTTCATTTCATTTCAACGATTTTAGCGTCTCATAGTTACGAAAAAAGAACATGCGCCCCTCCTTATCCTTTAGGCATGCCATTCAGGTAAAAATACCATGCATCCTAAGCAGTGCAAGCAGTATATGAATAAATGCATAAGTAAATAACGTACTGCTGTGCCTGGCACGCCTGGCTCGCCCTTGCGACCTGAAAGTACCATCTAAATCAACTCAGCAATTTTTTTTTGCACGAATTTATGCGTTTTTGATCAAATAATTATGCATCTTTGTAAGGTCGTATCCAGCTGTGCTTGTCTGTATGAGCTTAGCTAAAGGGAATGCGACACACTGTCTTCTCGACTTGACTGGAGCTGTCACACTCAAAAGGTCAGTTTCTTCAGACACAAAAAACGTAACTAATAAAAACTGGTGACTTTTAATACAAAAGCATTTCCGGATTTAAAACACCTACCTATTGCCTTAAAAAATAACTGTGGGCAACAAGCGGACTGACATGAACTAGTTCTTCGTTTAAAAATTCATAGCTATTTCATTACTAAAAAAACACATGGAGGTACCTGCAGTGCAATAACATTTGCCATCGCTATGTGTAGCCCGCACATTTCGACTGGCACCAAGCTTTGACCTTCGATGCCTGGTTAACTGAAAGTCGGTAAATGAACCGGCTAATCATCACAGTAACGTCTACCAAATGAATTGCGCGGCCAGGCGTTTTTGCGATAAGCTGCAGCGGTCTCATAGTGACTGAATGCAAAAAAGTGTGGAAATTCTTTCTCCTGCGTCACTATGATTCTTTGATCTATTTTTCTGACGGGGATAGATTATCGATGGTTTAGGCCTAAGTCATCATGCTACATTTGTTGTTACTAAAATGCAACTCGGGAGATCCAGTATTTTACACTGCTTGCACCAGCAGGTAGAAGAATGTAAAAGTTCGTTATAGGCCTCAAAATTTTCATATCGCCGATAACGGATTTTTAAATCACCGGTGGCGTTGCTTCCAAAATTCAGTTTCCTGGCATGCTTAATTTTAGCATTGAATTATCGCTCACTAAGCACATAACTTTTTGCGAAAGGACGTTTTTGCGATGATTTATCAAAAAACGCACAAAACAAGATTTCTTCAGTATGATTTGGTGGAAGCGAAACTTCTAAAGCTATTAACATGTAGAATTGATTTTCTTTGATACGACATCTGCAATTCTCCGCTGATGCAGCGCAAAATCGTACAAAAAGCTGTGAAACTTACTTTTCAACATCTGATGGTCTACGCAGCATATAGTAAAGTGCGAAGAAGTGAAAATCACCCCTCATCTTTCTCCTAGTTATGCTACAAGGTCAGTCTAAGTTAAAACAATTCATAACGGTATGACCACCTAGATACATGCATGACCGTGAAAATTAACAACATTTCTTCATAAACAGCGCTTTGCAAATTTTTATTCGTTTTTGATTATGTGCAAATTGCAAAAACGCATATTGCGACGACCCTGCCTGTGTGTTTGTTTGTATGTATGTGTGTTCGTATGTCCGGGTATTTCAACTCGGCAACCAAGCAAGCTCCGACACAAAACTTTGCCAGTTGGTTCCCCGGCCAAGTGCCACTCCAGGACTGCGGTATCAACTCTCACGCACGGCTGGGCCTTGCGTGCGAGCGGTGAAAATTTTGGCGGGAAAATTGCTAACTCGGGAACAATAAAAGCTAGAAGGCTAAAATTCTAAGGTTATGTTTCCAGTCCATATAGAACTCAAAGACTTCAAATTCGGTCCCCAGACGTGCGTTGTTCCGGTGTACGACCTCGTGAGGATTCCTGGCGCGAAAATCGCTAATTTGGGAACCAGGAAAGCTAGGAGGCTGAAATTTTGAGGAGATCTTCCCAGCTCATGAACAGCTTGAAGTCATCAAATTCAGCTCCCAGGCATATGTGGTTCTCATGTACGGCGCCGTGAAGATTTTTGGCATGAAAATGGCTAACTCAAGAATCAGGGAAGCTAGGAAGCCGAAATTTTAAGAGGATGCTCCTCGTCCATGTACAAATTAAACTTTTCAAATACAGCCACCATCAAATACAGCCACCGGGAATCCTCACATACGGCCCCGCGAAATTTTTTGGCTGGGAGAATTGCTAACTCGGGAACCAGGAAAGCTGGGAGGCTGAAATTTTAAAAAGATGTTTCCAGTCCCCGTACAATTTACAGATTTCAAACCTAGCCCCCAGATATGTCCCCAGTTTACGTGCGGCCCCGTGGAAATTTTGGCGGGAAAATTGCTAATTCGGGAACCAAAAAAGCTGGAAAGCTGAGATTTTAGAAGAATATTCCCCATCCAAATACTGCTTAAAGGTTTCAAATTCAGCCTCCAGTTACCCGTGGTTGTCATGTACGGGCACTTAAGTTTTTGGCGGGAAAACTGCTTGCTGAACAGCTGGGTCATTTTTAAAAAAGACCACTAGACGGAAATTGTTTATTTTCGTTTGTGCAAAATTTACGATGATTTGCGGTGTTGAGCGCACAAGATAGGTGTGAAGCAACAACCATTCATGCAGTCAACCTAATTACTTCAAGCTTGGTGCAAAAACGCATGATCGCATCAGCTCGCCTGGTGCGCTCCAGCCTGCGTCATTCTCTGTTTTCAACACAGTGCTTGATCCAGAAAAATCAAGATGGAGCCAAAAAATCTCCATTTATTGTTTAAACAGTTTAACTTTCTACTGTTATTAGCATGAAAAGGCTTTTGTGGCCGAGATGTTAATAAGTTACGAAAATTATTTGTTGTCATAGGCATTTCCAATACCTAGTAAAAAAATTATGCCCTCCAAAAGAAGAAAAAATCATTTGCCGGAACAAGACAGCATTTTCTTGAAAAAATATGGAAATGTTTTTTTTTTTCATTAAATTGATAATGAATAAAAAGCATTTTCATGTTTTTAAAAAGTTTCTTATTGTTTTTCTCAAAAAAAA